CCCCCGTTTTACGGGTAAGTTTTGGACGTCGGTCTTTAAAGTGCTCGGCACTTGACTGGACATTCCACGGCGGATCATCCGCAGACCGATGGTCTTTCTGAACGCGTCAACCGCGTTATTGGCGATATGCTTCCGCGGTGTTTGTGCTGAAATACCCAAGCAATGGAGCATGATGCTCCCTCTCATAGAGTTTTCGTTGAACAACGCGGTGCATGCCTCGACAGGCTTCACTCTATTCTATGTGAATGGTTTGGTCAACCCTCGCGTTCTGTTAACGCTACCAATTGCCACATCAGGTCTTAGTGGGGGAGAGATAGCCGAAGGCTTGGCTGATATCAGCCCTGTTTCTATGCGCAAAAAAGGTAGAAGCGTTTCTGTCAACGCGTTTTGACGTATTACGTCACGTCAAAGACGCTATGGCTGAAAGCCAGGATGTTCAAAAGGAACACGCGGATGCCAAAGGCAGGAAAGAACGAACACGAGTTCAAAGTGGGTGATTTGTTTTATGAAACCGCTAGGAATTTACCTACTCGTGCCGTTTCGTCGGTATATAAAACTAAACTGCGTCCACGCTTTATCGGACCTTTCAAGGTCATAGGCAAGAAAGGCTTAGCCTATACGCTGAACCTTCCCAAGACGATGCGAACACACCCTGAGTTTTATGTGAGCTTACTGAAGCCATATCTCAACCCTGACTCGATGGACTTCGAGGGGTTGTCCCCATATCCCCGGCCGAAAGAGGCGGGTAGTACGACACCGGAGGTGCATATGGACGATGGAGGCGTACCAGAAGGTCAATCTGACACCGAAGCTTGGTTTGAGAGCTCTCAATCGCCGCTAAGCGATCCGAGGTCTCAGAGCGATAACGCTCAAAGGATCGACGGTGTCGATCGACACGGTCATCGAGCGATGACAGGTGAGACGTCACCGATGCAAGAGCATCACGCTCCAGGAGTGTCAGGCGACGCTCTATCTCAGAGAGATGAGAGGTCAATGGGTCATCGACCTCCTCCGACGCTGATTGATGAACTGGGTCATCAACAGCTCCACGTGGAGCGTCTCTTGGCTCGGCGTCGTCACCAGGGTCATACCCAATACTTGGTGAAGTGGAGGGGTTACCCCCAGTCGTACGACTCGTGGGAGTATGAGGTACCCCTCCGGCAGGATTGCCCTGACGCCGTTGACGCTTTTGACCAGGACTGGTCAGAAGCGACGACAGCTGTCGTCGGACGCTTCCTAGCACTAGGTGCTGTGGAAGTAAGGTCAGTAGGCTAACTTCGCCTCTGACCTTCAGAAGAAGCCAATGTCGGTACATCACTCGTGTGAGAGGTACGGGCAACAGCTTCAGAAGCTTGATCCCCACAAGTCTTTGACCTGTATGTGGAAGGTAATTGACGTTTCGCTTTGAGCTTAGCAAAGTTAAAACGTAGACGACGTTCTAACCAAACGTCTTGCGCTTTAGCGCTTAAGCGCAAGTTTGACAAACTTGAGAGCTTACATGCTCGTTCTACCCAACGGGTGAACTGGTGATCATCTTGTGCAGATGTTTCACCTGGTGCAAGCACCACTGGTATGCCGTTTAGTGGGTGCACGGGCACCCCACGTGACTGTCGTGACAGTCGCTCCTGATACGATCTCATCGTAACCTCCTGGGGAGTAAGGGGCTGCTCATGAAGAGCAACACTATCTGCATCCTGGCAGGCCGTACGGGATGAGACCCAATGACATAGGCTCGCAACGATTGCGATGCAGCTCGTCAAGCTTTCTCTTTAGGGTCCCGGGGCACGAACCCATAATCACGTCGTTAAAATGTTTGTTTGGGCCGTGCCAAAGCGGCCGCTTGGGCCTCGTCATCGAGTTGACGACGCTGTGCAGCGTCAAGAGGGTTGGTTACGTCTTCGTCAGTACCCTCTTGCAAGGGAAGTGGTGGCACTTAGCGCAATAGGTCTGTCTCCTTTGGGGGAGAAGACACAAAATGAAATCTACGTCCCTCGCTCGGTGAGCGTGATGATTTTGGGGTACCATGGCCCGAAAGAGACTCGGCACCGCTACCCCTAGAGGCAACGTCACTGTCATCGTCTCCAAAGATGTCGCGGCGCATTGCATCATCCATGATGGAGCAAGCTCTATAGGGTCAAGTGCTTTAAAAAGCAAGTGTTGTGAACACTGTAATGCTTCAAAGCAAGTGCTAGGCACCTAGTGCTGTGAATGCAAGTGTTCGTAAACGCACAAAGGGTAATATTACCAAGTGCTTGGCACTTAGCGCTTATAAGTAAGTGTCGTAACACTTAATGCTTTAGCGTTAGTGCGATGCACTGTATGCTTAAAGAGCGAGTGTCGTAACACAAGAATGCTTAAAAAAGCGTGTGTGCAAGGCACGGATGCTCAAGAAGCAAGTGTTGAAAACGCTAACGCTTTGTTTGCAAGTGCAAGCACTTATTGCAAGGCAAGCAAAATGGGAAGAAAATGAAATTGATGCCTCCCATTAAGTGAAAAAAATCGTGGGTACGTTGGGTGAGGGGAGGGAGTAAGGGGGTTACACGAAGGTGTGTATTGTACATACACACCTGCCACACCAATGTGGTGTGGCTGTACTTTGGGTACAAGAGTAGGGTACCAGGGTCAGAGAGCCACGTGGTCATTATACTTATTTAAGTATAGTGACTATGCATGTTTGCATAATATAGAGCCAGTAAATAGTGACTAGCACTAAGTATAGAGTAGGTGCTTCTATATTTAGTGCTAGAAGATAAACATAAATACAAATCAGTTTCAAACCTGCTCTGGAAGCCTTACAGCTTGAGCATTCTATTCCATCTAAGAAATTAAGTATCTTTGATACTAGTCTCTCTGAGACCTGGTTGTAACAACCGATAGGCACAAGCTGACTTGCTAGCCTAGCAGTGTTAAGCACCCTAAGACGTAGAAGCTCTCTGAGCTTGTCTTCCTCTGCACATAGTGCATACGTAGCTTGGCTACAGTAGCTCAGCTACATCCTCTGCACATAGTGCATAAGTAGCTTGGCTACAGTAGCTCGGCTACTTACAACCTCTACGGACTCGCAGATATATATGCACTGCCAGGCAACAATGATTTGGTACATCTTAAATATACTGAGTTTTACACAACATCGTATCTTTACATGTTTTATACAGTAGCAAGACGGTAACGAGTTAAAGTGCATGTAGCCATTTGATTTGGCTACACTATCTATTATTCTGAGTTGTTATTATTATAAATTATTTGGACTAAGCCGTGCAATCAAAACGGTTCCCACCAAAATTTTAAATAAAGTCTCACAGTTTCTGTACACTTTCGTGTTGATAAAGTGCTATTATTATTGCCTCCAAGCGGACGATGGCGTCGAGGCGCCGTCCGAGTGTGGACCGGGAGGAGGCACAGGCCTTGGAAGCTGCCGTGGGACTGCAATCTACAGGTACAAAACTTGTGTGCATTGACTTTGATGCTACGTTCGTGAATGTGCACACAGGAGGTCTGTGGTCCGCCTCAGCTCTGGAGCTCCGTACTCACGTACGTCGTTTCTTCCTGCTGCTTGTGCCGCTACTGTGTGAGGCCCATGTGAATGTAGCGATTGTGACATTTAGTCCACAAGTGGAGCTTATTCGTGATGTCCTTCGTCTGAGCTTTAGTACTCAAGTTGTGAACCAACTTGTGGTCCGGAGGTGATGATCGGTCGTGGTATTTGACACAAGACCAGACCGTATCCTTCTTGCCATTGGGACAGACGGATGGACGACATTTAGACCGCAAATTCAAGCTACCATTTGTAATATCGGCTGCACTCGAGATTCAGCAGCGATTGGGTGGCGTCATATGCAACCGAGACACGGTGTTGGTGGACGACGACGTCGTCAACATTCGAGTTGCCAACGACAGCGGCATTGTCGGGGTCTTTTTTTGATCCAGAGGAACAGAATATTGAGTCATTTTGCAAGAGACTCAGGAAACTGCATGCACCGAGTCTGGAGCTTGAGCCGACGCCACTGAGAACCCCAAGTAAGAAGCCAAGACAAGGATCAGGGAGTGTCAAGCTCGTGGCCAAATCAACCCACAAATTCTTGTCTAAAGGTAGTGGTAGTGGAGCAAAGAGAAGGCTGCGTGTGGCTTCTGGAAGTGGAAACGGACGGGCATCGTTGACGTTCAACACGTGTACACCGTCACCGGTGATGAAGCTGAAGTACAGCGTGGACATGGGGCGGCCGAGACCGAAGCGGGCGTCGAGAAGTACAAAAAATTATAGCAAAAAAATTTTGAAGGCAGGTCTACACGTTATGGGTCAAGTCGAAGAAGATTTGTCCACCAACCACCATAAACTCCATAGCTACTCCTTAGTATTATACATGTCGACGATAATTATCCGATGCCTTGGCCTGACAATACGATCATCATCATCTTCTGCTTCTTCTTCTTCTTCTCCTTTCATTAGATATCATCGCTTCTATTCTTGTTCTTCTTCTTTTCATGAATTAGGTCTTGATCCACGTCTGTTATCAGGCCTAAAGGAGATGAATATTACAGTAGCTACTCAGATTCAAGAGAAATGTCTTCCAATGATTCTAGCACGTCATAATGTATTATGCACAGCACAAACGGGTACAGGTAAGACATTGGCTTACTTGATTCCAATCGTCGAGCAATTATTACGTCAAGAAAGAGTAAAGCAAATGCAAGACAAGATGAAAAACGACGCTGCTGAAATGATTCGACAGCGACCACGTGTTTTAGTACTGCTACCTAGTCGAGAATTGACATTACAAGTAGCTTCAGTTGCAAAGCAGCTTTCACACGTGGCAAAATTTGCATCGTGTATTATCACAAGTGGAGAACGTAAAAGTATTCAGCAAAAAAATACCGCTCGAAGACTTGATCTAATCATTGGCACTCCTGGACGAGTGGCAAAATGTATCAAGGAGAGAGATTTTTTTGTCTCTCATATCGATACAGTAGTGATTGATGAAGCTGATACATTACTTGACGCTAAGATGGGGTTTCGGAAAGAGCTAGATGCGATTCTGGGGCCAATTCAGGCTAGTGCTGCCAAGCGCAATAAACCACTGCAGATGGTCTTGGCAGCCGCAACTATCCGCTCACCGATTGATCAAGTAATGAAGAAAAAATTTGGTGACCTGCATGTCGTAAGTGATGATAAGATTCACAAGACACCAAGTACTATTAAGGAGGAGTATGTCCGCGTCGTATCCGAATCGAAGCACTCGGCTTTGCGTGACGTATTGCGTTTACACAGGCGTCACGCAGCGAAAACGATGATTTTTTGTCGCAATTCAGCAAGTGTTTGCTCTACAGAGCACATGCTACGCGAGCACGGCTTTCAAGATACGGCATGTCTCCATGGCGACATGCCGGCGGCAAGACGTCATGACGCTATCCAGACATTCACTGAGGATGCAAACGTGAACGTTTTGGTGTGCACGGATCTAGCAGCTCGTGGTCTTGATTTTGACTTAGTGAAGCATGTTGTCATGTTTGATTTCCCAAAGACCGCAGTCGACTATGTGCATCGTGCTGGACGAACTGGCAGAGCTGGCAAACAGGGACTTGTGACAAGCCTTGTAACCAAGCACGACCTTGCGCTAGCTACGAGCATCGAGAATTCGAAGCGGAGCAATAGCACGATCAAGGAATTGCGTGAAAATGTACTTGCACCCTCATCGAGAACTGTACCCTTGTCGGTTGGCGATACATCAGAGAAGCAAGTGCGTCAAGGTTTAACCTCAAAGCGAGGTGGCTTTGGCCATGGCACGAAGAAGCTGGCGAGACACAAGATTCGGACATTACGGCAAAGCTGACAGAATTGAGCTTGTACGACGTGAATAACAGAATAATTGAAACAAAGTTGAATGTGATCGCATTGATGAAAAGACACGTACTTCTATTGTATAATGCAATTATTCAACCTTTTTCGACTTGCTACACGCATTCATGCGGCGGTACAGTCTCTCAAGCTCGCGCTTGGTGTCACCAGGTGGAAAATTAGCCAGATCATAGTAATGGGGCGCGATATCCAAGAGCCACTCGCCCATTATACGAGTGTTCAAGCGGATGTAGCTGCGGCTCGTAAGCACAAATTCGTTATAAACAACCCAATCTGGGTCCTTGTCCAGTACACACGACGGATGCAGGTGCACGACCTGCTTGTCCTTCACCGTCATGTAATGTCCCCCGGCAGTCTTGTGGCACACTTGCATAAAGAAACCAGACACTAACGCCTTAATGATATTGGGGTAATAGTGAGGGGAGTGGATGTCCAGTGTAGATTGCGTCGGCATCTCCAGTCGATTCATGTTACGGATCAACTGATCACGTACGTTCGACGCGCTCTGCAGCGACCGATTATTCAGATAATTTTCGTAGCACCAATTCACGTCACCGTTATTCAACTTGTACGCTTGAAACACGTTCAACAGTGTCAGATGGTCACCGTCTTCATGAGCAAAGTCTGCTTTCGCCTTGTCGGCGGCCTTGGCGTCGTTCTTAGGACGAATAAAAGGCTCCTGGACAGATAGCATCGCCACAATAGTAGCGACTTCCTGCGGTACTTGATACTTTGCCGACGAGATCAACATCTTGGCCAGCGGCGGAAGCACAGGAAGCATTGCCATCTGATGACCAAGGTCAGTGAGATCGCCCTCGTCGCTCAGGGCGCCGAGGTAGTTCAGCATCTCCAACGCACGCATCAGTGTCTCGGGAGCTGGAGGATCCATAAAATCAAAGTGCACTAAGTCGTCGATGCCAAGTTGTTTGAGCGTTAGAACCACACCACTCATCTCCGAGCACAAAATTTCCGGATATGTCTGCTCCTCCAAGTCACGAAGAAACGATTGCTCAGTGTAGAGGCGGAAACACTTGCCCGGTCGCGTTCGACCGGCACGACCAGCGCGCTGCTTGGCTGAAGCGCGAGAAATGGGAGACACCAGAAGTGACTCAACTCGAATACGCGGATTGTACACCTTCTGCTTGGAGAAGCCCGGGTCAATAACGTACACAATGCCATCAATAGTAAGCGACGTTTCAGCCACATTGGTAGACACAACAATTTTGCGGCCTTTGGGGCCACCTGAAAAACGTGGCTTCGGGGGATCCTTAAAAATAAGCTGCTGTTGTTGAGGTGTAAGTGACGAATACAGAGGGTAGACATCAAGTGGGCCATATTTGGTTGAGTCCAGAGCATCAGCTTCTGCGCGGATTTGACGACAGGCATTTTCGATCTCCTCTTGACCAGTTAAGAAAAGCAGCACGTCTCCTTCTTTCTCACAAATGTGAATTTGCACGGCTGTACGAACAGCAGCTTCTAGATAATCGCGCTCTGGTTTGGCTGTGTAAAAAATCTCGACAGGAAAAGTACGTCCAGGAATGGCAATTAACGGAGCATCTTCAAAGTATTTCTGAAATTTGACAGCATCGAGCGTTGCACTCATGACAACAACCTTCAGATCCGGACGTTTAGGCAGAACTTCCTTTAAAAGACCAAATAGAATATCGGTACTCAATGTGCGTTCATGAGCTTCATCCAGTAGGATAGTAGAATAATTTGACAGCAGTGGATCACTCATAGCGTGTTGCAATAGCATTCCATCAGTAAGAAAGCGCAATTTAGTACGTTGACATGTAACGTCTTCAAAACGAATAGTATACCCCACTTCCTGTCCTAAGTGTACATCCATTTCTTCAGCTACACGCTTTGCAATGCTCATAGCAGCCACACGACGTGGTTGTGTACATGCAACCATTTTAGTCCCATTGGCGTATAATAGTGTCAAAAATTGCGGAATTTGTGTCGTTTTCCCACTTCCTGTCTCTCCTTCTACCACAATAACTTGATGTTGTTTCATAGCGTCTTGAATTTCGTGTAAGAATTGATGGACAGGCAATTTCTCGCGTTGAGTCAATAACGTCTTGTAATGTAGTGAGAATGGTGCACCTGTAAGTGGATTTAGATCAACACTAGTAGTAGAAGTAGTGACAGCAGAAAGAGGAGGGACATCTGAGAATCTACTTTTACGTTTAGTCTTCTTGCTGTTAGTATTAACGTCAGTTAGATCTAACTTGCGCTTGCGTTCCGTCATCTATGCAAAGACTGTTTAGTAACGAGCTGGTGGCTATGGTGAGGGTTGGTCACTATGGTGCTGTAGCAAGCTGTGCAACATACGATATTATAAGCAACGGAAGAAGTTGCCCGGAGGATAAACTATGTTGCAAGGTTTTATTTCGTGTTGGGCTCGACAGAAGGTCGGCGGTGTCAAGTGGAACACGCTATTGTTGAATACTGTATCACGTAAAGATCATTCATCTTTCTTACAAGTAGTGAATCGATAGTGAAGTTAGTAATAAAAAACAAATGGAAAGCAAGCAAGTCTGTCTTTTGCTTCTTGATGCATCACGCTTTGCCCATTATAGATTCGATTATGTCTATACCTTGCTGTCTATATGATGTTTTCGTGTGGTCACTTTAACCGCACGAAGGACATCTGGGATCATTGCAAAGGCGCTAATTACAAAGAAAACGCTTCCAATAACATAGAACGTAATAGCCTTGTTCATATAGTACGTACCATTGTCGACACGATTGATATATCGAGGCAGGTAGTACCAGCTACCAAGAATGAAAAATAGGGCACCAAGGAATGCAGCTACTGCCATGACAGAGGTCCAACAGACAATGTTCTTGATTCGAAAGCCAGTGACACGTGGATCCTCGTGTGTCGTGCAGACAAAGATAATTTCGGCGATCGCAGTGATGCAGTAGAGAATGCAACCGATGAAAAATGACCAGCAGCCAAGCTCAGGCGCCATGGGATACCATGTGGGTAAGAAGTATAGCGCGCCGAGGATGAAGATGCACGAGGCCATGTAAATGAATAGCACGTTAAACGCACGTAGGACTTGACGCAACTGCGTGCCGTGGTTGTGTCGGATAGTCTGGATAAAGTCGAGGTTGGCACCCAGGAAATACATGATGCAACCGAGAACGAAGGCCCAACTCGCGAATTCACCGGCATTCCCAATCCACAAGTCTGTGTACTGCGGGTAAAAGTAGATGGAGCCTATTAAGAAAAGCACTGAGCCTATGATATAGGACACTACGCGTCCAATCTCGACACATTTCTCCCAGGTTGCAAGTTCGTGTCCACTTGCCTGAAGTACCTGTGGTTGGCGCGGCGTCATTTGGGCTAGGAAGTCTGAATTGCGTGGAGAAACACCTTGCATCTTTTAAAATTTGTTGATATTGCTTTGCCTCTCGGCTATTCCAAATGGTGAATTGACAAATGAATGCAAAGCTTCTTGTACAGACCTGGTCTGGAGGAAGGAAAAGAGTCTGCTTGGAATTTCAGCTGAGGACAACGTTAAGGCTAGATATAGCCGTGTTGGCCGCTCTTTTTCCAGCTCTTGATGAAAAGCGATGGTGCTCGACACGACTACCACCTGAACACGCCAACTGTCAGGTAGTTTACTTGAAAGCTGCTTAAAGCGAGGAGGTATAAGACCTGGTCTTTCTGCTGGGGTAGAAAGCCGAAGCGATCGCGTTTGCGTGTTGGGGTACAACATCCAAAGTCTATGAAGTTTGTTACGGAACGTTCAGATTTGTACAAAAGGTTAAAGGATGAGTTGTGAAAAAGCTGAACCCGTTGTAGGCATGTAACGCATGTATGGCCTTGTGCAACAGCAAGATGAAGCTCAATCTCATGACTTGGTCTCCATACAAGGTGACTAACTACTTGTAGATCATTGTCGTGCTGGACTGTTGATGCGCTTACTAGCATTTTTAAAAAAATAAAGGATGACAGAGCAGTGCGAATAACCTGGGCGGGTCAGCAGACAAATGTCAATTATCTACGGCATGTACACATAGTAAGAAACAGTCGTTTCAACTCTTTTGTGTATTCAGTATCGGACAGTTGGATGTGTTGCGAACAGTGGAGACTTTTGCTTACAACGGACCCTGTCGCTGTTCAACACGAAGATCCGTCATACTCGTAACCATTTAATATGCACTCTTCAAGTCAGTCTCAGCCAGAGGATCGATCATCAGTGTGGCAAAGTTAATTGCGTATCTCGGTGTCGTTGGGTCTCCAAATAATTCGCACTTTCAGCACCAGTGAAGCTTCATCTTCAGGAACAATCAACTTGAGTATGAACTGTTTACATGCATAGGACATTAAATTTCCATTATGGACGTTGAAACCAGGTACGAGACGCCATCGAAATGCTGGCAACGACTTATTTAATAGCAAAAGACAACCCGATCGCATTTTTCCTTACGTGACAATCAAATGATTACATGCAATAATACAAATCTCGCTCCAAGCTTTGCAGATCTTAACTCGATTCTCATGTGTGCAGGCGATTGAGGAAGTAGGTCAGATCCCGTGAATTTGACGCTGACTTTACCTTTGTCGAGCGATAGATTGAATTCAACGAGTCGTCAATCAATTGTTGCTCCAGCAGTTTCTGGCAAGCATTAAATGCTGCAGACGCTCGAGCACTGGCTTTCGAAGGCATCGGGTCACTGCGGAACGCTTCCAGCTCGAGTTCAACGGGGAGGTTAAGCTCCGCTGTGTACATGCATTTTCCACCGTAGCGAGCTTCTGAAATTGAATACATCTGCTTTGGGTTTACAGTATACAACTTATTCGGCAGAGACTGACAGAACTGATTAATGCAAGCAATACTGCTGTCCAGATCCAAGACAGCGCCAGTGGATTCAATCTCAATCTTCTGCTCACCGGCACCCATCAGTCGTGCTGCGATAGATCGCGGCTGTTGCTGAACAGTTTCGATTTTTTCTCTAGAGAACTCAAGTTGATTAATTACCTCGGCATCACGGACCAACTGTTTGTAGTGGATTTCGTGAGCTAAATCTCCTTCTTCCGCCAAATAGTAAATGATACCATCATCGTGACGTGCACGTCCCTTTAACTGCATCAACATACGAGCAGTTCCAACGCGATCCATTACAACAATCAGCCCGCACTGAGGAAAGTCAACTCCTTCCACTGAGACAGCCGTGGAGATTAACACACGAATCAATCCCGACTCAAACTTTTTTAGGATTGTTTCCATCTTAGGTAGAAGAAAGGAGGCCGTGTCACTACGCGATGCTTGCCCCAGAATGCTTGCAAAAGGTAAGTCCACCGTTGCCTCATCCGAGAGCTGGCTGTTTGACTCTACAAATACCTCTTCATCAGGTCCATCACCATCTACAGCCAATGGCGCAAACTTTTCATTAAAAAAGTCCGACAGCACACGACATTCCATTCGTGTGTCCACAAAGACGATGCCTTGAAGGCCAAGAGGATGGCGCTGACCATCTTGAGCTTCTTTTAGGTCTTCGCCCGCTGGAATGGAGCTACTTGGAATGAAACCATCGCCAGCTTCATTATCGCTGTCGCTGACGTCGCTGTTAGTCAGCTCAGCGCCAGCTATCTCCTCAACTTCGGCTTCTACGTCAAACAATTGCGCACGCACAATTTCTTCAACCTTACTGACTTTTGCTGTGCACGCAAATTCGCAGTGCTCACGCTTTGCAGTCAGTAATAGCATCGTTTTGACTGCATCTCTATCTAATCCAAACATACTTCCGGGTACTGTAATAAGCAACGACGCAGCAATCGCGAGTCGATGAATCTCTAGCTCCGCAAAGCGGTAGTAGCACCATGGACCCAGATTCTTGTAAATGGTAATGCAATTTTGCATAAACCTCTTTCTCGCTTTCTCCAATTTGGCAGGGTCCGTCGCTGCATCACTCTTTCCTTTTTTCAAGAGTTTTTCAAGTACTTCAACTGCTTTTACATCTGCCAACTCTTTTTCCATATTCGTAAAAACCCATACCCCATCTCCATCCTCGTTACCAGTGTCCTCCTGTCCCTTAATTTCCCATGGATTCTGTAACGAGTACGTTTCGTACACGATCGGTGCTGCCGCTGCAAATTCTGCAATTTGCGTTTCATCCAACTCCACTTTCTTCATCTCTGCATGAAGTTTTTCCGCACAGTGACGTGTTGGACACGCTGTTGTGCCAAAAATTCGTGGCATTGTCGTCAGATCTTCATGATCAAACATCTTTATAACTTGTGCGTATGGATGACGCTTTGTCACGTGATGACATTCATCAAAGACGAGTAGATTCATACGGCTCAGTGATACGTAGCCCTTAAGTAGTATATTGCGTACGATCTCAGGTGTACACACAAATACACGTGTGACTTTTAGTTCACGCTCCCATTGGGCAGCATTCCATAGATCTGCAGTACTGCCATAATACGCATTCACGTGTAACGTACTTGTTTGACGAATTTTGGCTGTAATTTGAAGCACTAATTGACGTGTAGGGGCCATAAAGAATGCACGTTTTGCCCCGGAATAATCCTGTTCACTTAGTAATGCGATCGCAAGAAATGTCTTGCCAATTCCTGTATCACCAACCATAACTACATTCTTTCCACGTGCTAACTCTAGAATATCGCGTTGAAATGCCCGGAGCTTTACTTGTTCCATATTAAGTGATTAAGTGGTTGGGGAGTGGTGAAGTGGTTACGTAGTTTAGAGGTACTTACTTGTTACTTTACAGTATGAAAAATGAAAGGATTGTATTAATCAGTAAAAAGATTTTGTGCCATTGTTCAATTCTAGTATTGTAGATAAGGCATAGATAACTGCATAATAAAATGACTTGATTTTTTTAAAAAAATGCATTTATCGATTAAGAAAATAATTGCTTCATATTAAATTAATTTCCGAGTTCAAATATTAAGAAACAGTTCGAATCCGGCACCACGTCACCCGAAGCATCGTACTCATGCATATTTGTGGGATTATATCAAGACGGGCCACATTCAAAAAGTTCTGGCAGCCTCTGGCCGAGGACAGCTGGTTGTGATAGAACTGGAACAACAGAGCAATGGGATCGATTGAAAAGTTACGGCGACCAAGACGAGTAGCGGTTTACGATAGCCGACTATCAGAAACTACGGAGGATCCAAGCCGCAGATAACATTGTCTTCCGTGCGCATCCTCTCCTTCATGGCTTTTCCATGGTGCTTGCCTGATTCCGTTACCATCATGCATGTTGTAGCAGAGCTACTGTAGCAATGCTAATTATACACTAGGTGCAGAGGAAGACGAGCTCAGAGAGCTTGAGCGTATTAGGGTGCTAAACCCTCCTAATCTAGCTCGTGAGCTTGTGCCTATCGGTTGTTGTAACCGTGTCTTGGAGAGACTAGTATCAAAGATATTTAATTTCTTAGATGGAATAGAATGCTCAAGCTGTAAGGCTTCTAGAGCAGGTTTGAAACTGATTTGTATTTATGTTTATCTTCTAGCACCAAATATAGAAGTACCTACTCTATACTTAGTGCTAGTCACTATTTACTGGCTCTATAGCCTGTTATTTTTATGCAAACATGCATAGTCACTATATTTAGATAAGTATAATGACCACGTGGCTCTCTGACCCTTCGTACTTCAGGTACGGTCACATCACCTACTTTTGTGCCCAAGGTGCGGCCACGCTACATTACACTCTTGGCTAACGAAATCGTTGTTGTATGTAAAATACACACCTTCGTGTAACCCCGTTTTACACCCTCCCCAACCAATCCGTGAGACCCGACGTCCCCACGATTTTTCGCACTTAATTAGAGGCATCGATTTTATTTTCTTCTCATTTTGCTTACCTCGCAATAAGTGCCTCGCACTTGCAAACAAAGCTTCTGTGTTTTTAACACTTGCTCCTTGAGCACCTGTGCTTTGCACACACGCTTTTCTAAGCATTCTAGTGCTACGACTTGGTATTAATACAATACCCAATAGTGTTTACAAACACTTGCTTTGAAGAATTTTAGTGTTTTAAATACTTGGTCATAAGCGTTTGAGCACATAAATGCTTAACACTTGCTCACAAAGCACCGTAATGTTTACACTAGCTTATAATGCACATTCGTGTCTAACACTAGCGTATAAGCACCATAGTGTCGAACACTAGCTTATCAAGCACCTAAGCCACTTGCTTATAAAGCACATTTTCGCTTATCACATGCTTATAGGGCACCGTAATGTTAACACTAGCATCTCAAGTAATTACATGTTGGACACTTTCTCTTAGAAAACCATAGTGTTAAGCACTCGCTTATAAAGCACTAAAACGTTTAACACGTGCTTATAACGCACCTTGGTGTTCAACACTTTCTTTTACAAATTCCCAAAGTACTTAACATCTTCTTATATAATCTCAAAGTGATGTACACTTCTGATAAAGCTTCATAAGGCTTCACACTTACTTATATATAGCCCAACAGTGTTACTTTTGGTTATAAAGCACAACATTATTTACCACTTGCTTTTATAAAGCCATAACGTGCTATAAACTTGCTATTCATATCAACAAAGCCATATACACCGTAATTTTTGCTTCTAAAGCAGATGATAGTACTTCTCACGCGAGTGAGGTACCGGCATCTGCTTTTCAAGAAGGTCAGAGGCATAGACAACGAGTTTTCATCGCGGAAGAGATCCAATTCGCTCTAACTCCGTACTATTAACGAAAATCGATATGTATACGTAGATATGGAAAGGTTACAGAGCTAGTTAAATTGTAGTGAAAAGCACTTAGTATAGAATGTGTGTTTCAATATTAGGGCTAGACGATAACATAGATAAATCAGTTTGGAACCTGTTTTTTGAGGCATTTGTTGCTAGAGCACATGCCTTTCGAGACGAAAATACTATGGGTCTCATAGATACGTGGGTTGTTTACAGCACAGAAAGCACAAGCTAGCCTTGAGAGGGTTGTTAGCCCTAAGACTTATAGTTCGTCTAGATTGTTTTCCTCTGCACTAAATGCTTAAGCACCTTTGATACGGTAACTCTGCGACACCTGGTAGCATTTGTAGTCAATTCTGCACCTGAGTCTGTAACTACTTCTCTGTGATAATGTCATCAAAGAAATGTTCGCGGTGGGCCTATCGCATGCGCAACAATAAGGGTTGCACAACTGCTCCCTAGGTTTGGCCCGAATAACTTAAAATACCTTATCGCCCAAGGCGAAGAATGGTTTAACAAGCGTATTCATATGCTTGAAGAGCACACTAGCACTCTTGTAAAGTATGCAAAGGTACAAATACTTTCATCTGCGGCGTCGTCTATGGCGACTAGTGGCGCAAAAGGTGGTCCGCAACCCAAAACCCATACAAATGGAAGTCGAGAAGTTCGACGGCGGTGAAGGTAACAAACAACCTTATGCTGTGGTTCTGACAAGTTGGGTCGGCTATATTTATAGCCGACATCACCTATGAACCGTATCGTGTGGGCTTTTCACAGGTAAGCTGAGTGGCTCGGCGAAGGAATGAGAATTCACATGAAGTGCATCACTGCAAGACGCTGTCCTAACATGAACCGATATGAAAGTTCAGATGGCCCGACAGTATGCACCGCCAAACCAAGCGCAACGAAATCGGTCGCGACTTTTGGCCTGTCGTTAAGGCAAGCGTGAGATTGTGGCATATGTGCAAGAGTTGAGAACTCTCATTGCTGCCATGACCATAGACCCTATTCCTGAGGAAGTGACCGTCACGGTCTTTATGGAGGGCCTCCGAGTTGGCGTTTCCAGAACGGAAGTCTTCCGGGTAAACCCGTCCTCATTCGAGGAAGCTGTTGGAGTGGCATGGAATGCCGAGACCTACTTTAAGGCCTCTAGGCCTGCCACTTATAGCTATTCGTCTTATGGGTCTGTGTACCCGTGGACTGTAGTCAAGTGGAGTATGAAGAAGCTGAGCTTCAAGCTGCGGAGCAGACAATTGTGCGCAGATGTTATATCTGCAAGAGCACAGGTCATTTGATGGCAAAATGCCCTGCAAGAAAGGCACTTTTGGCCTCGAAGGGCCGACGGCTCATGGGTAAACCTTCTGGTTTGCCGCGGGGAAACGGCGGAGACCAGTAGGCGCGGGCACCCTACTGGGGAAGAACTGAGTTCTGTTGAGACTCTAGGAAGTAGAAGTAAACAAGGCCCAGCCCCAAAGAGATCCGAACTCTCAAAAACGGAACAAGAATGCAAGCCAGGCTTGCTAGTCGTCGAAGGGACGGTTAAGGGATCTAAAAAGCCATGGATCATTTGATCGATTCGGGGGTATCGGGCAATTATGTGCGCCGTGCCACCGTGGAAGGTAGTCAGCAGTATGCTGAAGCGCTTGTAACGCGTGAAAGCGACACATTCACATTTCGCTTAGCGACTGGTACGCGTGTTATGGTACCCAAAGTCTTGATGGACTTAAATGTAAAGCTCTTGGACTTTAACAGCATGGAACGCAGTGTTTAGACCTGGATGCGAGGTATCCCCTCTTCCTAGGCATGGAATGGCTCGAACATCATGAGCCATGGATTGATTGGAGGTCGAAGACCTTAGGCGCAACGCACAATGCTCCTGGTCGGGCTCTGGAGAGTCATCAACCTACTTATGCTAGGACGCAAAAGTACTTTTGGCAAGGATATTGGACCGAGTCGGTCAATACGTCGGATGTCGGAATATCCGACTTTGTAGACACTGTAAGTGTCGAGGACAACAGTCCTGGGCGAGGCTCAATGACTGTCGATAGTGTGGTTGAGAACTCACTAGCTGGCACATATGACATGAGAATGATGTTACATCATTAAACACCGTGAGTGGTGTTGGTGGCTGCAAGTTAAGATGTCAGGACATAAGTCCAGGTGATATGAGTGACGAGGAACTGACCCTGGAGGGTCGAGTGAAGTCATCAATGGATTTATCTTTGAGGACAAAAAAGTGAATGCACCTAACGACGAGGTACTGGCCCTGGAGGGTCGAGTGACGTCATCAATGGATGTTGTCTTTGAGGATAACGAGATGCAAGCACCTAACGACGAGGTACTGACCCAAGAGGGTCGGGTGAAGTCAAAAATGACGGTTGTCTTTGAGGACAACGAGGTGCGAACACCTCATGACGAGGCATTGACCCAAGAGGGTGGGCTGCAGTCAGTAAACGAAGTGGTCTTTGATTTTGAGGTGTGTCAACCTATGGACGCTGATGAGTCGGATGCTGTGAGCACCATGAGTAGCGATGATGATATCGTGAGTGACGGTGATAGCGAACAGCTATATACACTCGTCAATGGTTTGACTGGGGATGTTGAAGAGCCGGTGGATCTTCCTGCTATACCCGAAGTAACTACTCTGTTAGAGCTGGACGAAATGTCCTTCGACGAGTTGTCATTGCCATACAGGCAGGCGACATCGCTGAAGTGGTCGTTATACGACCTGAGGAGGAGTTGAACACCTCATCGCTTTTGGATAAAGCAGTTCTTGAGGATATAAAGAAGGCGCTGAATGCGCGCAGTGGATCATAGATCCTGAAGGACCCTACGGATCCTTATTTTCCTTTGTTGAAGGAATATGTAGATGTTGTATCCAGAGAACCTCCGACGAGGTTACCTCTGGATAGAGGTGTGCGTCATGAGATTGACTTGGTTCCAGGAACCAAATACTG